GATGTGTTTTTAGGCAATATAGAAGCAACTAGTACATAGGAAGAGACTGAAAATTAGTGAGAGCAGGGACAATAGAGAGGGCAATCTGTTGGAGAAGATGGGATGGAAAAGGATTGCATGAATGGGAGAGGTTTGCCTAAGCAAGTAGAAGAGACAACTTTTCATGTAAGATAAGGGTAAAGGAGGAGATAGTGGCAGAAGACATCTAAGTGATGTGAGATGAGGAGGAGGAAAGAAGGGGGAGCTCTCAGTGAACGACTTCAATTTTTCCACTGAAACATAAGGGAAAGTTTTTTAGCCAAAAATGTTTGGGGAGAACAAGCTATGGGAGATTTGAGAGGGGATTAAAAAATCTGGAAATGGTGCTATGGTGAGTGGGATAGTAAATCAATTAGGGAGGTGTAAGAGTATTCCCTTGTTGTAGTGAGGTCCTAGTTAAGATTATGTAATATAAATTTGTACTGGACCCAAGCTGCATGGTTTTGAAATTATTTTTGATTCATTTAGCAGCTTGTTGTTTCTTCCCTAACAACAAACTTCTGCATCCAATCCTTTCTCTCCCCTCAGAGAGCTATCACCTTAGTTCAAATCCTCATCTTTTCTCACCTAGATTAAGCTACATGACTGAGTCAGAACACCCTAGCCTTCAAAATAATTAATACTGAATGGCAATGGAAAAATGCAAGATGAGCATGAGCAGGTTGCAATAATTAGCAACAAATATAAGGCAAGTGAAATCATAGAGATGTGTACTCAGAAAAAGATGGGCCAGTCACGGACTGGCATTAAGGGATACCAATGGAGAGTTTATACACTACACTGCTTTCTAGGCAACAGCAAGAGATCTTGAAGAAACCCTCTAGCACAATGCACCTTTTGTGAAGGATTTACGGGAGGACGTGAATGAGAGGGCAGGAGGACATGAATGAGAGAGCATCGACAAATTGCAATTTGTATTATTTGAGGGAGGACTCTCACTGATGAGATTATAGATTCACTGACGCATGCAAATTCCAACTCTAATGCAGGCCACGGTTCTTTTTCCCCTGACCCTCATTTTATGAACATTATCAACAGAAAGACAATTTTCTTTCTCTCAACTGTCCACTTAGTTTCTTCCTACTCCTGACACAAGCATATATTGATTTGATTTGCTGCCGTTGATCTAGAAACACTGCAGCACATTAGCTATTTTTCTTTTTTTCCAGTTTTTACTTTGGTAAAGACATCAGTTTTACTCTAAACTTTAAATGTTCAATCTCAGTATTAGCCAATGCCTTTTAGTGTGTGTGGGAGAGAGAGGGAGAGAGAGAGAAAGGGAGGGAAGGAGGTGAGAATGGGAAAGGAGGAGAGAGAGAGAGAGAGAGAGACAGAGAGAGAGAGAGAGAGAGAGAGAAGAGAGAGAGAGAGAGAGAGAGAGAGAGAGAAAGGTAGGTAGGTAGGTATCTGTGGGATAACTTTGTTTTAGAATATATTTATTGGGCAGCTAGGTAGTGCAATGGATAGAGTACTGGTCCAGGAATCAGGAGGGCCTGAGTTCAAATCTGGTCTTAGACACTTACTAGTTGTGTGACCAGTCATTTAACCCCAATTGCCTCAAAAAACAAAACAAATATACATATATATATATATATATATATATATATATATATATATATATATATATATATATATATACATATATATATATACGTGTATATATATATACATATATATATGTATATACATATATATATACATATATATGTATATACATATATATATGTATATATATATATATACACGTATATATATATATTTTTTTTTTCCTTAAATACATGTAAAAATAAATTTTAACATTTGTTTTTTAAAATTGCTAGTTCCAAATTTTCTCTATCCCACTCTCCTCTCCTCCCTCATTGAGAAGGCAAGGAATTCGATACAGGTTATATATGAGATGATGAGATCTAAAGAGATTGGTTAATAAGATGAGATTCAAGTAGGCTGGTCAATGAAATAATGAAACTAACAGGGACCCCTCTGCCCTGGGCAAATGGGCTGAACAATGGAATAATGATGTGCCTACATATGCGAAAAACTCTGTTCTACTGCCCCACTGCCTACATGTCTCCAGTTACCTCATCTTTCTGTCCTTGATTACCTTTTCCTCTATAAGAATCCCTTGCTTCTTCTGGCTAGGGGGCATCTCCCTTAAGGAGTTGCCTCCCTTAAGGGACTTCAACCTTTCTTAAGGAGGAGCCTGTTTGGTGTTATCTGGAATAAATGCCATTACTTGATTTGGAGATAGCCTGCGCAAATTCTTTCAAGATGACACCACAAGTCTCTCTCTCTCTCTCTCTCTCTCTCTCTCTCTCTCTCTCTCTCTCTCACACACACACACACACACACACACACACACACACACACACACACACCCCTTCATATCTCAACAGTTTGGTGACCTTGTATCTCATCATTCTGACATCCCTGGGTAGGCCTGTCTCAGCCTCAGGCTCTCTCCAAATTGAGGTAAGCCCATAAGCCCATATTCCCTTTACTGCCAGCACCCCAGCCAGACTGGGGGTAGTTTGGGGTCTCTGCACTCTGTCTGCAGGTTCTCTCTAAGTAGGGGATGCCATGCTTGAGAACCCTGTGCCTTTTCCCTCTCATGGGATGCCACAGGGAGGCAATGTGGCTTAAAGGGAAAGTAACTTGTTTTAGACTTACAGCACAATGGATTAGTTTCCTTCCACACCACGAGACTCTCTGCTAGGCTGTCTTTTATAAAATTAGAAGAAACTCAGTCTTCAGGACCAAAAAGATGCCTTAAATTCCTTTGTAATATTGCCTGGCCTCAGTATAAAGGACCAAGAAACTTATCTATTTTACTGTTGAGAAGGGAAATAGACTGAAGTTCCATACATCCAGGCCTTCATGGCCCTTTCACAAGACCCCACCCTGCGGCAACAATGCAGAATGCTTTTGGTAAAATTTTTAGCAAGAAAAGGGAGGAAAAGGAGTCAGATCTCCTAGATGATCCTCTCCTTTCTACTCCTCTAGCCCTGGAGGCTCTGCCTTCCATGCCTACAAGCAACTTTTAGGAGGCTTGTAGCCTCCTACAGGACTTTCCTCTGTATCCCTCACCCCCAATCCTACATCCTCCATCACCAGGATCCCCCCTCTCCTTAGTCTCTCAAATATGAGAAGCAGGATCCCTTTCCTTCCCCAGCCCCAACCCCCTGAGCCTAAAAGCTACTCCCTTAAAACTTTGTCCTCTGAGAGAAGTGGCCAACAGGTGGGAAGGAATCACAAGGGTCTATGTTCCCTTTTCTATGTTCCATCTTTCTCAGGTCAAAGAAAAACTTGGCCATTACTCTGAGGATCCCACCAAATTTACTGAAGGCTTTAAGACCATAGCCCTCCAATTCGACCTAACATGAGGGGACATTAATATCATTATTGTTGTACTATAGAAGAAAAGAGGAGATTTTGGGACTTAGCCCAGCTTTTGGAGTATTTAACAACAGGTATCAAACTGCCGCAGAGGATAATGAGCCCAAGGCTAGGTCTAAGAACAGAGAACCGCCTCAACTTTTGGCTGCTACCATTTCTAGTACCCAGAAGGGTGCCACCCATGATTCTCTCAGGGAGGATTTGTGCTTTCGATGCCATAAGAAGGAGCATTGGTCTTGTAAGTGCCCACTGAAGAGGAAGCCACTGGCCCATGTCCTATTTGCAACCAGGAGGGTCCCCTGTTAGCTTTATTATTTCATTGACCAGCATATTTGAATCTCATTATCTCATTGTCCAGTCTATTTGAATGTCATCTCCAGAAAGGTTTCAGCTAATCTTATCACTAACAAGCTGGAAAACCTTTCAGTAGGGATTAAATGTTTATCATTTAAAGACTAGACTAAGTTTGGTGATTTCTAACACTATGTTAGTTAAAGAATAATAAATCTGTCAGCTACAGTAACTCTAAAAGATTATCTACAAAGTTACAGAGAAATTCAAATATTCATAAACAGAGTGAGCATCCACAGTGGTGAAATCATAGATCCTTCAAATACTGAAATATGTTCCAGTCTGGCTTCTGTGCAAATTCTAGTTATAAACAGTCCATGCTAAAATCATTTTACCATATTAGCTTGAATATAAGCAGGTAATCCTCCTTTATTCTTCCTTCCCCTCAAAAAAACCAACCAAACAATAACAACAACAAAAAACCCGGTTACTCTACATCAAAATGTGACCTATAGTTGTACTTCAATTGGCTTTTGTCTACCCTACCCATAACTTTCCACAACAAGAAGTCAAGGCTGAGTGTGAAATTTTTAAGAGTTCCTCACTAACTTCTTCCTCCATCGTCTACTACATGCAGCCAGCTAGGTGAATTTTGTCCCAGCTACCATCCTACCTAGGGCTCTTCCTCTTGTCCCTGGTCAGGAAAGCTAGTGTCATAAACAATACTCTTCAAACACTCAGTTCTGCTATGCTCTAATATTGCATTTGAGAAGAAATTGCATTGTATCATATCATCTTGTCTCCCTAACACTTGATAAACCTTATGAGAATTTAAATGCATTGTGTGGTCTTTTGGTTTCTAGTGAAAAGTATTTTACTGGTCATACCAATTTTTAGAGGTGTTCCACTTTTAGTCTTGTGTGGGAATGCTAGTCTAACTATACAAGGAAATAGAACAGGTATAAATAAGCATTTATATAGCACCTACCATATACTAGGCACTGTCTTAAGTACTTTACAAATACTATTCCAAAACAACCCTGCGAGGTATGTGCTACTAATATCCCCATTTTATGGTTGAGGAAACTGAGGCAGCAGAGGTTAAGTGACTTGTTCAGGAATACACAGTTATTAAGTATTTGAACTCAGGCCTTACTGACTCCAGGCCCAGCATTCTAGCCACTGCACCAGTTAGTTGCCTCTAAATCAACAGAAAAGACAGGGCATAAAAAGAATAAGATTAATATATTATTCACATGGGGTATATATTACTTTACCTGATCTGTCCTCGAACGAGAGGTCTGTTCTTTGTTCTGTTCATATTTGAATCAAATGGAACCTCAAAGAACTGCATTGAAGAATAAAATGACAGAAGAGACAAAAAAAGTGTTAAAATTATTTTTTACAGGAATGATTACCTTTCTAGTTACTTTATTCTTAATATTAAGTTTTTTAATATTTTTTCATTTAACAATATAAAAATAATAAATTTAATAATATTAAGGTTTTAGAAAGTAACTTATTGAAATCCTACTCTGATGTTTCATTGTGCCACAGAAGTGACCTTTTGTGACAAATTCAAGCTCAAAAGGCTTTACTAGAGGAGTAATGATAGACTGCCTTTCTGTCATTTGAGGACCAAACTATATAAGGGCCCCATCACCAGACTGACTACAGGGTAATGAAATTTTTGGCCATAGCAACTCTCAAAATTTATATACTACTCATAGGAGGGTAAATATTTGCATAGTACAACGAATGTGTTAGCTACTGGTATCTGAGGTACATTAAGAGAGATGTGCTTCCTTGGAATAGGGAGATAACTATACCACTGTGCTCTGCCCTTGTCAGATTGTATCTATAGTATTATGTTTAGTTTTGGGCACCACAGTTTAAGGACACTGATAAACTGGAGATTATCTGGATGACAGAAACCAGTATGGTGAAGGGCCTGGAATGCATGTCATACTGGGATCAGTTGAAGGAAAAGGAGACGTTTAGCTTGAAAAGGAGGACTCAGAAGGGATATAATAGCTGCTTCAAATATCTAAAGGGCTCTCATATGAAAGAGTTAGACCTGTTTTGTTTATCTCCCAGAAAAAGAACCAGGGGTAATTTTTTTTGGAAGTTGAAAAGAGGTAAATTTTGGCTTGATGTCAGGAAAAACTTTACAGCTGTCTAAAAGTGGGATGGGCTACATCAAGTGGAGGTCCTGGAGGTCTTCAAGCAGAAGCTGGATAAATATTTCTTATGTCATAGTAGGGATTCTTTTTGTATATGTGCTAGACTTGAAGTCTACTAAAGGTCCCTCCAACTCTCAAAATCAATAAATACCTCCAATGATCAAATTACAAGTCCCTGAAACATCAAAATATTGCATAATAAATTTCATTTCAGTTTAAATTTGATGGACTGAATAAAAATAACTGACATTTTAATAGCACTTTAACATCTGCAATGTGTTTCTATCTATTTATCATTTATGCCTCACAACAAACATGTCAGGTAGACACTACAGGCCCTGTTATCCCTTTTTTAGAGTAAGGAAACTAAGGCTAAGAGAAGTAAAGTTACTTTGCCCATGGTCACATGGCATATCTAGCAAATATCAGGGGTGGGATTTGAATCTAGGCACTCCTGTCTCCATCTCCAGTACTCTGTGAACTACAAGATGCTGACAACTGGTATTCCTTAAAAGATGGATGATGAAGTCAAAATGCAGATTGCAGAGGATTTAGAAAAGATTAAGCAATAATAATACAGGCTCCAAGTGGGACTTTTTTGAGTTAGGAAGGAGAGGAGAGAGATGGAATGATTACTAGTGGGGATGGAAGCATTGTGAGTTTTGTTCTGTTTTTAAATGATGAAGAAAAATAACTAGAGTAAGCAGGAGATAAGGGGTCAGCAGGCAGAGAGATGAAAACAGATGATGGGAGTGACAGTGGGGACAATCTACTATAGACAATGAGATTAAGGGTGAATGTGGATGGGGCTGGCCTTGGTGAGGAGAAGGCCTACCTCTTAAGACCAAAGCAAAGAAAGAAATTGTGGAAGAAGATGCCTGAGTGTTGTGACTTATGGAGGAGGGGAGAGAAAGGAGCTTTTGGTGAATGGCCTCAATTTTTTTGAAGTGTGAGATGAAGACCTCAGTTGAAAAGGTGGAATAAAGGGTGCTGTGGAAGGTTTTAGGAGATAGAAAAAGGATCAGAATAGCTGAGGCAAAGAGTGGAATAACAAATCTATTAGGTAGTAGTAGAATGACTGCCTTGCTGCAGTGAGGATCTCATTGAGATTAGGTAACATAAATTGCAGTGGACAGTTTCATGGGGCAGCTAGATGGCACAGTGGATAGAGTTCCTAAGTTCAAATCTAGCCTCAGACACTTACTAGCTTTGTACCCCTGGGCAAGTCACTTAACCCTGTTTGCCTCAGTTTCCTCATCTATAAAATGAGCTGGAGAAGGAAATGGCAAAACCACTCCAGTATCTTTGCCAAGAAAACCCCCAAAAGGATCATGAAGAGTTGGACATGGCTAAAAAATGTCCAAACAACAAAAACTAAACAATCAGCTTTGTAATTCTTTCAGTTCTGTTCTGTAGCATACGGTGGACTCATGTATGTCACTAATATATAACTGAGGAAAAACTATGAGTCTGGGATAAGGGGCCCAGGTGGGGCTGGGTACAAGCACAGGCTAACAAACTTAAGACAGAGAAGTTGTTAAAGCCTATACAATGAAAAGTCATTTTCAGATGGCCCTAGAGTGCTATAGTGGTGATTTATTTAGTTTCTAAGGGCCCCCCAATGCTGAATTGCATGCCTTCATGCTAACTCCAATATTAAGCTCATGTCTAATACTTAGATTAATAAGAGGGATGGGCTTCCTCCCAATTATTGCACATGTAAATGATCATGGGGCAGCTAGGTGATACAATAGATACAGTGCTGGGCCTGAAATCAGGAAGACTCATCTCCCTGAATTCAAATCTGCCCTCAGATGCTTACTAGCTGTGTGACCCTGGGCAAGTCACTTTGTCCTGTTGTCCTCAGTTTCCTCATCTGTAAAATGAGCTGGAGAAGGAAATGGCAAACCACTCCAGTGTCTTTGCCAAGAAAATACCAAATGGAGTCAAAGAGTTAGACATGACTGAAATGACTGAAAACAGCAAAAAGTGATCATATACATTTCTAGGTTGTATTAGAATAGGTATGTATGTATGAATACGTGTATACATACATATGCACACACACACACACACATACATATATATATATATATATATATATATATATTATATATATATATATATATATATATATCATCCTGATTTTTGCTAGCCCAATCTAGGAAAAGAGAGTGAGATATGGAGCCTAATTTCAGAATAGAATGCAGACAACAACAACAACAACAAAAGAGTATGTAAACCTGATGCTACTACAATCTAGGATGCATGAAAAAGAATAAATATGCCATCTTTCAAACAAGGAATCACTGTCATGTCTTGACTAGATATAATTGACATTAACTCTGCGTATATGATTTAACTCTATTGAGACAGCCTCTGAAATTTAAAGCATGCCACACCAATCATAGAAACCCTAGAGATCATCAACTTCAATTCCTTCATATAAAGTTAAGGCAACATAAAATGAGGCAACTGAGAACCAGTGAAGGAAAGTGATATGCTAAAGGTCAGAGATATTGAGGTCACAAACAAAGTAATCTATATAACTTTAAAGCAGGGCATTAACATTCAACAATTTCACATAAAACAGATAATCTTTGAAGGATTTCAAGCTTTAAATTTGCCATGCCAAATTCCATTAACCATCAAAATCCAAGCTATTAGTTATACATTTTCCCAAGCTGAATATTCATGGCATAACATTGGTTTACAAAAGAAAAAGAAAATCAGAGGGATTCCCAGAAGTCATTTAATCCAAACTATACCTAAATAAGAATCTCCTCTATAATATACTGGACAATGTTTACCCAACCTTTCTTTAAAGAAAGATGGGGAACCTACTGTATCCTAGAAAGCCCCATTATACTTTTGATACATCTTGACAAAATCTGCCTCTTAGCACCTACCATCTACTGCTCCTATTTTTGCTTTCTAGATCCAAGAAGAACAAGTATAATTAGGAGAAATGGGCTCAAATCTTATCTCTAAACCTTATTTAGTGATTACAAACAAGCCAATTAACCTCTCTGCCCTCAGTTTCCTAATATGGCAAAAACTTGTATTACCTACTGCATAAGCAGACAGTGGGAAAAGGGTTTTGTAAAACTCAAAGTACCTACAGAACTGTTTAACTCAAATGTCTTGTTAAAACATCCAACATAAATAGTTGGTGCTTAAAAACAATAAAGCTTATTTTACATTATTAAAATCTATTATTGGTAATGAAATACAACCATTTTAAATTTTCATAAACATTTAAACATTTTTTTAGAAGCACTATCACTCTAGGAATAAGACAATGGTAATAAAAAGACAACTGTGACTAAACTGAAAATCGTGACCTTAAAACATCAATATAGATTTTTGTCACTGTTTGAACATTAAGTAGTACTGAATTTATGATATATTATTATTCCCTACTCCTACAAATATGGTCAAGTCATGTTGGTTACAAATTAAAACACTACCTAAAGAACATTTGTTAAGTAGTAATATGTAGATCTTATTCTACGTAATCATATGCCTCTTCACTATCTATTGACTTGACAAATTTCAATGTTACCTATTAAAATATAGTCTTCAATAGGGTCATCAACTTTAGAAATTAATCATCAAAAGCCAAATGAATAAAAAACTGAAATAAGGTAGCTGTTTATTTATGCATTAAATCTGGTCAATATTGTTTAACTCCTCTGAAAGTTATCCAGGCACAAGCATATATAAACAAATATGAAACAAACACAATATTTTAATGAGGCAATCTGTCAGATCAGTACATCGCAGAGTAATAGATCTAAAGCTGGATGAGGTCATAGATGTTTACCTAGTCTAACACTTCATCTTATAGATGAGAGGACCAGAGAGGTTAAGAGACTTGCCCAACATCACATTAACATGTGACTCTTGGACAAATGCAACAGATGGATAATACACACGGCCCAAAACCGAGTAGGATAGAATCTTGCCATACTACACTTGGGAACTTTAAGAGTACCTTCAAGAACCCTTAATTCCCTAACACTGCAAAAGCCCAATATTTTAACACCAATTTCTTCCTGGTGATTCATGTTACATAGTTGAGAATCAATGACACGAACTCAGATGAATTCATAACCCAAAGTGTAAGAGTGAGTGATATAAAAGGGACCAACAAAATTATCTA